TTAAAGTCAGTAATAATGTGCATTTTTTTATTCCTGATTTTAGTAATTTGAATCTTCTTCTTGATCAGTCTAGCTAGAGTTTTGTCAATTTTGTTCATCTTTTCAAAGAAACAACTTGATTTTCTGTAATCTATTTCATTGATTTCTGCACTGGTCTTTATTATTTCTATCCCTCTGCTTGTTTTGGGTTTAGTTTGCTTTTTTTCCTTTTTTTCGCTAGTTTCTTATGGTGGAAGACTAGGTTCTTGATTTGAGATCTTTTTTTCTTAAACATAAACATTTACACATAAATTTCCCTGCATTGCTTTAGCTGCATTCCACAAGTTTTGTTATGTTGTGTTTTTACTTTTAATCATCTCAAAGTATTTCCTAATTTCCATTGTGATTTTTTTTTCATTGATTCATTTATTTGGGAGTATGTTGTTTAATTTCCACATATTTGTGAATATCCCCATTTTCCTTCTTTTGTTAATTTCTAATTTCACTCCTTTGCAGTTGGAGAACATACTTTTCATTATTTTAATCCTTTGTTTAAATTTATAGAGGCTTGTTTTATGTCCTAGCACATGATCTCTCCTGGAAAATGTTCCATGTGCACTTGAGAAGAATATATATTCCGCTGTTGTTGGGTGAGTGTTATATAGGTGTCTGTTAGGTCTAGTTGGTTTATAGTGTTGTCCAAGTCTTCTGTTTTCCTGTTGATCATGTGTCTAGTTCTGTTCTTTACTGAAAGTGGGGTCTTGAAGTCTCCAACTATAATTGTTGAATTACCCATTTCTCCTTGTAATTCTGTCCATTTTTACTTCACGTATTTTGGGGCTCTGTTGTTAGGTTGATACCTGTTTACAATTGTTATATCTTCTTAATAGATTGACCCTTTTATCGTTATAAAATGTTCTTGTCACTAGAAACAAATTTTCACTTTGTCTGTTTTGTTTGATATTAGTATAGCCACTCCAGCTTCAAACAGTTACTATTTGCATGATGTATTTTTTCCCATACTTGTATTTTCTACCTATGTATCTTTGAGTCTAAAGTTTGTTTCTACCTTTTGATGGGATTGTTTAGTCCGTTTACATTTAATGTGATTACTGATAAGGTAGGATTTACATATACCATTTCAGTTTTCTCTCATGTCTTTTTTGTTCCTCTGTTCTTCCATTTCTGCCTTTTTTGTGTGTGTGTTAATAAGTTATTTTCTAGTGTACTGCTTTAATTCCCTTGTCATTTATTTTAATATAATTTTTAAATTATTTTCTTATTGGTTGCCCTGCATATTGCGGTTAACATCTTATAATAATCTAGTTAGAAATAATTTAAATTTAATTTCAATAGTATACAAAAACTTTGCTTACATGTAACTATTTCCTCCTCCCTACTTTGTGCTGTTATTATTGTACAAATTACATCTTTATACACAATATCCCCATCAACACAGAATTATAATTATTGCTTTATGCAGGTGTCTTTTAAATCAGAGAGGAGAAAAAAGTTACAAGCAAATTATACTTTTATGCTGGCTTTATATTTACCTAAGGAGTCCCTGGGTGGTGCAGATGGTTAAGCACTTGGACTACAAGCTGCAGGGTTGGTGGTTCGAACTCACCCAGAGGTGCCTTGGAAGACAAGCCTGGTGATCTGCTTCCAGGAGGTCACAGTCTTGAAAACACCGTGGAGCAGTTCTATACTGCACGCACGGGATCTCCATGAGTCAGAATCAACTCTACTGCAGCTAATAACAACAGATTGCTGTAAGCCTTTGGCTGATTTCTAAGTTCAGAAATAGTTGGTTGTGATAATTTTCTGTTAGTCTTCTGTCATTCTGGCAGTGGTTTTGCCAGTCTTCTCATTGCTTTTATGAGGGAGAGGCTTTTTGGATGTCGTTAGTCTGCCATTTTTGCTGATAATCACTTGATCTGATTTTTACATATTTTAATCCATAGCTATTTTTGTCATATTGTTAGTTCTAGAATGCTAACATTCTTTGAGTTTCATTAAGTGCTTGGCATTGTGCTGACACTTACCATACATTATTTTATTTTACTTCTACTGCTAATGCCACCACTACCACTAATAATAATAACATAGTGTGTGTTCTGTTATACCATGTTTCCTGATGCGAATTAGCTGATGTACAATTGTTGTATAAAGGCGTGATGTCAGTATAGCATAAATCATATTAGTTCATATGGAATTGTTCTCCCATAAGGAGAGCCGGAAAAGCAAGAGTGGAATCATAACCCTCAGCAGGAAAGAACAGTCCCACAGCTTGGTTCTTGGCTGTTGCAAGAGCCCTTTGGTTTTATTTTAATAAAATTAAAGTCACACCTGCATCTGGGGATCTCTCCCAAGGGAGGTGCAGACCTCCGCCATTGGCAAGTTGCACTGCCTCCCGTTGTAATGGCTGTTCCACTTGCATTTATATTGTCGCAGCACATGCTTACCCAGGTCTAATTAAGATGTTGCATGAATTTCTATTCTGTTGTTTTTATTCGCTTTTAATATCCTGTATACTAGCCTCCTGGAGCCCTAGTGGCACAGTGGTTAAGCGTTACGGCTGCTAACTGAAAGGTCAACAGTTCAAATCTACCAGCCTCTCTTTGGAAACCCTGTGGGGCAGTTCTCCTCTATCCTGTAGGGTTGCTGTGAGTCAGAATCAACTCGACAGCAACAGGTTTGGTTTGGGTTGGGTATATTAGCTTCCTGAGTTACCTGCTTAAGTAATCCAAGTTATCTTCCCAGGTGCTAATTGTGGTTTGTGTTATTATTGTAAAATGCTCCATTTACAAAGATTAATAGATTTTTTGTTTTGATTTAGTTTTGAATGATGAATAGATTTGTTTGTTTGTTTTATGGTCTCACCTGGGTGGTGCAAGCTGTCTGTAATCGACTACTAACCTAAAGGTTGGTGGTTCCAACCCACCCAGTGGCTCCATGGAAGAAAGGCCTGGCAATCAGCTTCTGTAAAGTTTTCAGCCAAAAAAAAGGGAAAACCTGCAGTTGTTAGGCCTATAATTTTTAGTGTGCATATATCATGTGAACAGAAATACTGGTACTATAATCTGGGCTTTTGCCCTTATCACTGGAAACGTTCTTTCTCAGGTCACCGTAATCTCATTGCCAAATCACACCAACACTTTTTAGTCCTTATCTTTTGTGGCATATGCACCATTGGCCGTTTTTTCTTTGTTAAAACAAAGTCTGGTGGAGAAAATCTGAAGTCTTTCCCTGCTAGTCTCCTTCTGTCTCTAGTTCTATTTCAGTCTCCTCAGCTGATACATCTTCTTTAAATATGGGTGTTCCTGAGGGGTCTCTCTGTAGCACTCCTCCTCTAATGCTAGATAATTCTGCCCATATTTTTATGTGATGTCATTTCTAATATCTTTATTTAGTTCCTGTTAGTAATTTGCTGCCCCATTGAGAATTTAAGTATACCTGTTCTTTCACCTAACAGCTGTAGGTTTTCCTTTTTTATATTTGTTTTTATGTGTTTAGTTACTAGAAAGTAGTTATTATAATTCTTTAATTTGTGGGTTTGTTTGTTTTTTTTTAAGTTAATTTTTGTTCTCGGTTGCCTTTGAGTTGGCTCCAACTCATGGTGACCTTAAGTATAACAACAAAGCATTGCCCAGTCCTGTGCCGTCTTTATCATCGTTGATGTTTGGTTCCATTTTGTAGCTATTGTGTCAATCCATTTAATTGCTGACCCTCTACCAAACATGATGTCCTTTCCTAGCTCTTGATGACATGTCCAAAGTAAGCCAGCCAAAGTCTTGCCATCCTCACTGCTGAGGAGCATTCTTGTATATTTTCTAAGACTGCCTTGTTCATTCTTTTGGCAGTCCATGGTATATTCAGTATTCTTTGCCAACACCACAGTAAGAATGCTTCGATTCTTCTTCAGTCTTCCTTTTTTATTGTCCAGCTTTCACATGCATATGAGGCAATTGAAAAGATCATGGCTTGGGCCAGGAGCACCTTAGTCATCAAAGTTAGTAGCTAGGCTAATTCCCAGGTGTTAACATTCTGTTTGTATTTCCTCTTCGTTTCCTGTTCGTTCATTTCCTGCTGCTAGTCTGTTTTCTCTTAAAACTGGGCATTATTAGTCACTTTACCCAGTCAAGATATCTGATGGAAAGAACTGGCAGCTTGGCAGTATGTCTGACATCTGCTGTATGAAGCCTTTATTTAAATGCATCATTGGTCATGAGTTCAAAAGAGCATCTGTCTGCTCTTTTTGTTTGTTTAAATAAGTAAAAAAAAAAAAAGCAGGCAGGTTAACAGTTCTTATTTCTTAGTGCTTACGTAAGTGTCCCAAGTCCTTGTAATATAGTCTTCAAGTTACATAGCATATCTGTGATTCCACTATTTTAATCCTAATTTTACAGATGAGGCTGTGTTCATCACCTTTCATGTCTATCATAAAGTAAATTATTCGGGTCTGTGCCTTGTTGTAACTTGTGAATCTTCAGATATGTTACTACCCACTGATTAATTAATGTGTAACGTGGCAGTGAAGAATGTAGAGGCTTAGTGGGGCACTAAAGATCTAAGTCGTGAGGCAGGATTTGTTTTGGGGGAGGACTGCAGATTTCCATTCCTGTGGTGAAACCATCTAACTTGTAAAAAAGGACTGTGCAGTCAGAATCGAAGAATTCTTATAGTACAGAGACAACTATTGGAGTGTATGTATTCCATTGTATTAGTATATACCTAAATACAATTTTGTATTGAAGTATTCTTAGAGATGTATACCAAAGTATAGCTTGTGTCTATGCTTTTTGTTTTAAATGTATCTGCTGTGTGGAGTGGTAAGAACTTAGTCTGAGTAGAGATTAATTTCAGATTTATGTACTTCTTGTGGATACTTCCAGGTGCTTTTTTGCGGAGAAGTCATTGCCATTCTATTGTTGTTGTATAAGTGTTTAAGCTATTAAACTCTTTTTTTTTTCTTTGGTCCTTTCAAATCATCGGAAAGCCACCTGATGTTCTCTTTCTAGGTGTCCTGGAGCTTCTCATTGGAGAGTTGCCCTAGAGAAAAGGAAAACTAGTAAAACTCAGACAGAGATTGAGAATGAAAATGGACCCACCACACTAGACCCACCAGGTACTGTGTCACCAGAAGCCGACTGTCTGGGGACAGGAACAGTGCCAGCGGAGCAGAACCTGACACCTGTACCTCTCCCTGCCTGGCCCGAGGAGCCTGGCCTTGACAACCCCGCCTTCGAAGAGAGCACTGGAGCGGATAGTACGTGGACTTGACCTCCTGCTTAGATATCTGATCTGTTTCAAAAGCAGACGTTTTCAAGCTGGTTTCTTGCTTTCCCACCCTCCCAACATACACTTTTTATTTCTTATTAAAAAAAAAATGAACTTTTATTGAGGTATAATTTACATGCTACATAATCCAACCATTCTAAGTGTCCAATTGTATAACCATTTGCATTTTAGAAATGAAACATGGCTCCTCCCCCAGAAGAAGGTAGTCCTTCCCCATCCCTTTACTCTCGTAGTCCATGCACTTACTAGTCGTTAGTGTGGTTTTGTGTGTGTGCGTTCAGGCAGCTGTTTGCTTCTTGACATAAGAAATCAACAACGTCAAGAACAACAACAAAAGCAACAAAAATAGTGGCTCAAATTAATGCCCTTACTCTGTGCCAGGCACCGTGCGAAGCACTTTACTTCTGTTAACTGATTTAATGTGGTAGCAGCATAATCAAAGACATTCAATAACTTGCTCAAGCTCCTACAGCTAATAAATGGCTGGGTATATAGCTGCCTTTGATACCAGCCTCTACTCTAACCGTGTAACCCATTAGGAAATTGGTAGACAGTGTGCCGTCTTAAATCATGGTCATGTATCTCAGTAGTTGGTTGTTAAGTGTTTGCTTTTAAAATAATTTTCTTTTACAAATTCTAGTACAAATTTAAATGTCCCCTGCCATGGGTGTAACCCTTTTTTTATCTCCTAAGACTCAGTTTAAGCCCCACTTCTTAAGAGTTTTACGTGAGCACTCTCCCAACACCCATCATGTTTATATACCACAGAGTTAGTGTCGTATTTATACTGCCTGGCATTATTTCCAGTTGTTTCATGCCCTGACTTACTGTTAATATTTCTTAATCGGATCACTGTCTCCCCTGGTGATCTGATACATACCAAAAATACCAATTCCATTGCCGTGGAGTCGCTTAGGACTCATAGTGACCGTGTAGGGGTAGAACTACCCCATAGGGTTTTCACGGAGTGGCTGGTGGATTCGAACTGCCAACCTTTTGGTTAGCAGCCAAGCTTTTAACCACTGGGCCACCAGTACTCCAATCTGATACATGGTAGCTCTTCAGTGATTATTTACTGATCACTTTTGGAAGAGGAAATTTTTAGCTAATTTTAACATATTGGTTTTTTTGGTCATTCTGTTTTCTTATCTGGCAGTATTTCTTACTTTTTATCATCTATTAGCATGAGATGACTCATTTACCTGAGATAATCAAATATAAAACATTGTTTTTCTTCCATCTATTTTTCTCTCTCATTTTTAATTTGGCAGCCGCACAACAGCCGCTTAGTTTACCAGAAGGAGAAATTACCACAATTGAAATTCACCGGTCTAATCCTTATATTCAGTTAGGAATCAGCATCGTGGGTGGCAATGAAACGCCACTGATTAACATTGTTATCCAGGAAGTCTACCGGGATGGGATAATCGCCAGAGATGGAAGACTCCTTGCTGGAGACCAGATCCTTCAGGTACCAATTTTCATTATTCTGTTAATTTGTATCATTTTCTTCTTGTTCATAAATTTAAAACCGGTTGCTGTAGAGTTGACTCCGACTCATGGCAACCCCATTGTGTCAGAGTAGAACTGTGTTCATAGGGTTTTCATTGGCTGATTTTTTGGAAGTAGATTGCCTGGTCTTTCTTTTGAGGTATCTCTAGGTAGACTCCAGCTGCCAGCCTTTTGGTCCATAGCCAAGTGCTTAACCATTGTGCCATCAGGGCTCCTTCATATAAAGGTTAGCTTTGCTATTTTTGCAAACCCTGGTGCATAGTGGTTAAGAGCTATGGCTGCTAACCAAAAGGTCGGCAGTTTGAATCCTCCAGACGCTCCTTGGAAACTATGGGGCAGTTCTGCTCTGTCCTATAATGTCACTGTGAGTTGGAATCAACTCGACAATAACGAGTTTTTTTGTGTGTGTGTGCTATTTTTATATGCAAAACCGGTCAGAAATTATCTGTAGTTTTTCCGATTTCCCCATATACATGGAATGTATTTTTTTCTCCCTACCTTATTTTTCAGTCCCATGGTGCTCAGGCTCTTTGGGCTGACTAGCCTCTTTCCTGGCTTGGACTCCACAGTCTTCTATTTAGTGCTACCTTCACCCCTGCTGTAGTTCTCTTATCCCATTATTTTTATCCCAAGCCCAGTTTTCCCATCCGTGTATTACCTTTATAGTCTGATTTATCCTTCTCTACACAGCTAAGATTTAGAAAAGGCAGAACGTTGCAACACTAGTTACTTAAAATTGATACCATAGAATTTAAGGTGGAATTTAGAAGCCTTTTAGTCATCGCTTAACAACTCCCTAATGCACTCTCCTTAGCAAACATTCTAACTCTACATTTTTTAACTCCTTTATACTACTGTTACCTTCTTCCTTTTCAGAAGATGATCTCTAAGATGAAATAGGAATTCCCAATAAAGAACTAGCTTGAGACAAGATGGTATTTTATTAGAGGGCATAGTGAAATTGGGAGGATGGGGATGGTAAGAATTCTTAGTATGGGACTGGAATGTATGTGAAAACTGGCCTGGACGTTGAATCCTACAAGTATAGGTGATAGTTGAAGCTAAAGTAATAGATGAATTCAATTCTAGAGGGAGAGAAAAAATATTCATGAACAACCAAAAAAAGATACCTTCTAGAAACCCAAGCTCAAGAACTTTCCCCCCTTGATTTGGTTTTTCAGTCTTTACTGTGAGCTATTGATATTGACCCCGGCATTTCATTTCCTCTCCTACCTCTAATCTAAGCTTTCACTACTTCCTATCTAATTTAGTAGAATATCCCATCAAATATCCCTGTCTCCCAGCTCTTCTCCCTTAAGTCTGACATGATCACTGCCAGGTGAATGTATCTAACATTGCTTTCCTTGCAAAGATTTGACTGGAGTGTAAATCTAATGGTCAAGGTCTTTCATGGTCTTTTACCTAACCTGTCTTCTTAATCTTAACTCTTTCTTTTGGTTCAGGCGTGCCAGTTTGTTCATTTCTTCATCCAGTCATCAATTTATGCATCCACGAACATGTATTGAAGACTTAAAATGTTCTAGCCCCTGTCCTAGTGGCTAGGAGTAAAATTAAGAACAAAACACAGTCCTTGTCCTCATGGAATTTACAGTCTAGTGGAAGAGCCTGACATGCTTGTGCTCTTGCTTCCCTCCAAACAGCTTATTCCCACATTTCAGCCTGTCCACATTTTGTGCTCCAGTTTGTCCTTCATCGAACTTAAAGCTTTGTTTGGCTGTTCTAGCCATACTGTTCTCTCCTTACTTTAATTACTAATAGCATTTATTGCTTGCTTTTCTCTCCATCACTTGACACATAATTAGTTACAGCAAATTATTTAAATGTTTTACCTATGTACACACTATCTTTCCCTGGAGATTGCAGGGATCATGATACAGATTTCTCACAGAGCTGTGCATGTAATAAGTGCCCAGGGAATACTTGCTGAATCAATAAAAGAATGAATTTGGATATGACATCCTGTTAGGAAAAATCATCTCTTTTATTAAAATAAAACTTAGAACCCCTAGGGTTTTTAGCTCTTGAAAGGAACTCTCCAGATGGGGATGTTTGGCTTTACTTTCCACTCTCACTTCCACGCTGCCTCTCGCAGGTTATTATTCCCGCAGTAACGTTCAGGCTCAAAACCCTTCTTTTGATCGCCCTTAGCATGGCTGAGACAGACTGTACTTTCAAACAGTGTCATATTTTTTACTGAATACTAAGAAGAAATGGGAGACTGTGGAAAGCATTACCAATGCAGCTTATATGAAATCAGGATTCCAGTCTTACCATAGCTAGCTGTTTATACTGTATTCCAGTATCCACTAACTGAGATGTTAGTTGTCTTGCTGCGTGCAGCTGGCCCACCTTTGAGGACACCATACTTGTGTTCCTTACTCCCTAGCTCCTGACCTGAGTCTGCATGGAGGGAGTCTTACAACTGGTTGCCCAGGAGCATCCTCCCAGATGTCTTGACACCTTGGTGATCAGGACCGGGAGAGCCAGACTTCCACTTCTGCAGCCTACATGGTGTTCTCTCTTTCTTCCACTTCTGCTTGTTGATAGCTGTAATTGAAGTATACATTTATTTTTGTGTTTGTTCAGGTTTTGTTTATTAGTACATTTCATCATTAGGCTTTTTTACTCTTCTATTTTGGGGAATTGTTTAGTAACATAACTGAATCTTTATACCGCCAGTAAAATATAATAATTATTTGAAATTATTAACTATTTTTGGGAACTAACCTAAAGCTATAAAATCTACATTTTAGAAATGCCAGTAAATATTATTTATACATATGTAGTGTTAATAACTCTAGTAACAGCAATCTTAAATCCAGTTTAATGATTCAAATTGAAGAAAAGTATGAACAGATAACCTGGTTAATGAGTTTACGACAGGATTTTCCTGTTGTAGGCCCTGACGTAGGTTGGCCTTTAACTGGTAGGGTGTATCCAATAAGTACAGACACATCCCTCGCCCACATGTGGAGAAGTATTTGTAGTCATTCAAAAGTAAATACTTGCAATGAGCTTATGTTAATGGGGGAAGAACAACTCAGAAAAAGAGGTTGAGAATGGTTGCATAACTTGAAGAATGTCATCAGTGTCACTGAATTGTAGGTGTAGAAACTGTTGAGTTGGTGTATGCTATGCTGTGTATATTGTTAACAATAACAAAATAAAATAAATTATACTTAAAAAGTAGATATTTGGAAAGAAGTCAAGTAGAAACTTGCTATTTTTTGCTACCTTGTTGCCTCCAACTTTGTATAAGCTGGATAAATGATAGATAAAATGACTCAATTTGAAGATACCCTGGGAGGCATTAAAATAGTTCATTTGCAGACCAAAGAGCTAGCCCATGGTTTTGTATTAGCAAACCATATGCAATAACACTGTGTGGCTTTGATTTTCCCACATTAAAAAAAAAAAAAGTTTTTCTATTTAATAGTCTCTTACAAAAGGAGAACCCTATGGCCTCATGGCCTTTTGTTGTTCTTCAGAGATTCATACACAGCCTTTTGAGCAGTTTTGAAAAAAAATATTTTTTCTCCCACACAAAAATTTATACATACATTGTTATGTGACCCTAATTGCTCTCCCCTTACTGTGACAGCACACTCCTCCTTTCCACCCCTGATTCCTGATTCCCCCGTCCGTTCAACCAGCTTCTAACCCTCTCTGCCTTCCCATCTCACCTCTGGACAGAAGTGGCCTGTTTATTCTTTTGTATCTACTTGAGCCAAGAGGCACACTCCTCACGAGTATCGCTTTATGTCCCACAGTCCAGTCCAATCCCTGTCTGAAGAGTCGGCCTTGGAAGTTGTTTTAGTTCTGGGCTGATAGAGAATCCAGGGGCCATGCTTTCTGGAGTTCCTCCAGTCTCAGTCAGACCATTAAGTCTGGTCTTCTTACTAGAATTTGAGTTCTGCACCCCACCTTTTTCCTGCTCCATCCAGGACCCTCTGTTGTGTTCCCTGTCAGGGTGGTCATTGGTGGTAGCCAGGTACCGTCCAGTTCTGCTGATCTCAGGCTGATGAAGTCTCTGGTTTATGTGGCGTTTTCTGCCTCTTGGGCTATTACTTTCCTTGTGTCTTTGGTGTTCTTCATTCTCCTTTACTCCAAGTGGTTGGGACCAATTGATGCATTTTAGATGGCTGCTTGCAAGCTTTTTTTTTTTTTTTTTTTTTGTAATTATCCTTCAGGTGAAGGCTTACAGAACAAATAGTTTCTCATGAAACAGTAGTACACATATTGTTTTATGACACTGGTTAACAACCCCACAACAGTCAACCCTTTCCCTTCTCGACGTTTTTTTTTTGGTGAAAATATACATAGCCAAAGATATACCATTTCAAAAATTTCTACATGCACAGTTCAGTGACATCAACTACGCTCTTCCAATTGTGCTGCTATTCTCACTTTAGGTGAAGGCTTACAGAACAGAATAGTTTCTCGTTTAACAGTTAGTACACGTGTTGCCCTATGATAATGGTTAACAACCTCACAACACATCAACACTATCCTTACTCAACCTTGGGTTCCCTATCACCAGCTTTCCTGTCCCCTTCTGCCTTCTGGCCCTTGTCCCTGAACTGCTGTACCTCATTAGTCCCATTTGGTTTTATGGGGCTGTCCACTCCCCGGCTGAACGGTGAACCTCGGAAATGACTTCACCACTGAGCTAAAAGGGTGTCTGGGGTCCATACTCTCAGGGTTCTGGCTGTACTGGACTCAGTCTGGTGGAGGCCTTGGTGGCTGTGGTCCATTAGTCCTTTGGATTGATCTTTTCCTTGTATCCTGTTCTCTTCATTCTCCCCTGCTCCTGAAGGGATGAGACCAGTGGAGTATCTTAGATGGCTGCTCACAGGCTTTTAAGACCCCAGATGCTACTCACCAAAGTAGAATGTAGAATGTTGGCTTTATAAACTGTGTTATGCCGATTGAGCTACATGTTCCCCGAGACTGCTTGCAAGCTTTTAAGACCCCAGATGCCACTCACCAAAGTAGGATGCAGAACAGAAAAAATACATAGTTTTGACAAAAATGTAAATATATCAGTGCCATTATTAAGAATAGATATTTTCAGTTTGATCAGTGTCACCAATCATTTAGGCATTTTCAGTGTTTAAGGGAAATAATTGCAGCCATGTGTTGATTGCATTGGCCAAAAAACACATTTAGCCAAACGTGTGATAGAGTTTACATGCTAGTGCTATTTTCATGAAATTTAGAAACAATATTCTCTTTGATCTCTGCTTTATTCACATTTCACTAGCAACCATGCATTCATGGAAGAAAAATCTTTTTCCAACTGTAGGATATTCCCCAGCCTACTTTACAAAGATATTATGAGGCTATGTGCCTGTATGTGGCTGAAAAAGATAGCTGGACTTCAACCGGATGTTTAGTAAGGTCATTTATGTTGTGTCTGAACATAAAATGGAAAAATGTGAACCTAGAGATAGGTAACTTTATAGCTGAATAACCAATTAAACACTTTCTACATGTACAATTCAGTGGCATTGATTACATTCTTCAAGTTGTGCAACCTTTCTCACTCTCCTTTTCCAGATTCTTTTTCCCCCTTTAGCATAAACTCACTGCCCCTGCAGCTTCCTATCTAACTTTTCAAGTTGTTGTTTTCAGTTTGATCCCATATAGATAGTTCTTTAAAAGAACACAATGTTCAAAGCAGATAGTCTTTACTAATGAAGCTAAACTATCATTTAACTCAGAGAGGAGTTCAGGGGATTTTTTTGGTTTAAGGAAGGTTTAAAGTTTAAAAACTATCTCAGGGCAATAGTTTCAGGGGTTCATCCAGCCTCGGTGGCTCCAGAAAGTCTGGATTCCATGAGCATTTGAAATTTTGTTCTGTATTTTTTTCCCCTTTTGATCAAGATTCTGCCACAGAATCTTTCATCAAAATGTCCAGTAATGGTAGCTGGTTCATTCAACATTTTTGTCAGGGACTTGGATGGTTACCAAATTCCTGGATGTCACAAACTTGGAAGAACAGCAAATTTATGTGGGACATCTATGAATTTGATAATGAAATTTTAAAAGATGTCAACAGGCCAAAATCAACAAAATTCAAGTTGATAGGATTCAAAACTGTCAACCCTAGACAAAGGATGGAGGAGGCCTTGCTTAGCATGGACTCATATGAAAAAGATTTAAAGTGATCACAAACCCTAACCCAGAGCTTGTCCCATAACAGATGTTCAGTGAATATTAGTCTCTCAGATTAAGAGGGGAACTCTAATTGTGGTAAATGCTAAGAGTGTTGCTGATCTGTTCCTGTGACGAATTGAAGCCGAGCATATTTTCTGAAGAGCCCTGGTGGTGCAGTGGTTAAGAGCTACGGCTGCTAACCAAAAGGTTGACAGGTCGAATCCACCAGCCGCACCTTGGAAATCTATGGGGCAGTTCTACTCTGTCCTATAGGGTCGCTATGAATTGGAATCAACTTGATGGAAGCGGGTTATATTTCTGAAGGATGTTACGTATCCAAGGATTGGTTACTGTGCTAATTTCAAGGTTACAAAGTTTCATGAATAAACCTTATGTGAATATTGAATTATGCTTAATGTATTTTATATATCATACTTCTGTGTTAAAAGAAACTGAGTGAAATTATGATTATCTGCTTTTCTTTCAAATCACTCATCTAAAATATGGTTGTGTACCTGGAATATGCTCTTTTCTTAAAATTCAGTATTTTCTCTAGATTAAGTGTATTTTGTTTGAAAAGTAAATTTGTATCCACCAGAACTTCAATTTCTGTTCCACTAGAACTTGTTGTATGCCGTCGAGTCGATTCCAACGCATAGTGACCATATAGGACAGAGTAGAACTGCCCCATAGAGTTTCCAAGGAGCGGCTGGTGGGTTCAAACTGCAACCTTTTGGTTAACAGCCTGAGCTGTTAACCACTTTGCTACCAGGGCTCCCCACTAGAACTAGTATTTCATTAGCACTTGCCGTATGCCACTGTTAATCTGCTTATTCTCATACCGATCCTATGAAGTAAATAGTAAACACATCTTACAGATGAGGAAACACCCTCAAACAAGTTGTATAATTTGCAACATCACTTACTCAGTAAGTGGCACAACCAAGGACTCTTAACTCAAGACTATCATTAAAGTCTTTGATCTTAGTCACTATTCTCTACTTGATACTAGTCATTGTAAATTAATTTTAGAACTCTGTATTTTAAAATGTCTTTAGAGCAATTTCTTTGTAAGTAATGATTTTATGGCATCTTCACAGTGTTAGTTTCCTTTGGGAATGTATGGAAACATTTCTCAAAGTTGGGAAAATATAAGATTGTCATGCTTTGGTCCTCCTTCTTTTCCTAGGTCAACAGCTATGATATTAGCAATGTGTCCCATAACTACGCTAGAGCTGTGCTTTCCCAGCCCTGCAGCACCCTGCACCTCACTGTGCTTAGAGAGAGGCGCTTTGGCAGCCGTGCCTCTGGCCATTCAGATAATAACTCCCCACGAGAAGAGATTTTCCACGTGGTTCTTCATAAGCGGGACTCTAATGAACAGCTTGGCATTAAATTAGTGCGAAGAACAGATGAGCCGGGTGTGTTTATCCTTGACCTGCTGGAAGGGGGGTTGGCTGCACAGGACGGACGGCTGAACAGCAATGACAGGGTGCTCGCCATCAATGGACACGACCTGAAGCATGGAACACCTGAGCTTGCTGCCCAGATTATACAGGTAAACGCCTTTTGACATATGTTCAAGGTTGTTGTTGCAGTCGGGTGCCACTGAGCCGATTCACTCCTGGTGACTCCATGTGACAGAGTAGAACTGCCCCATGGGTTTTCTAGGCTGTAATCTTTACAGGAGCAGATTGCCAGGTCTTTCTCCCGAAGAGCTGCTAGGTGGGTCTGAGCCACCAACCTTCCGGTTAGCAGCTGAGCACTTAACCATTGCACCACCAGGAGTCATTTGTGTTCAAGGTACTTAGCCTTAATTATTATATATTAGTATTTGTTTTTATTAACAAATAGCATAAAAACTCAGGGATATTTGATATTTTGTTAGAAAATCATGCATAGCTACCTAAATTCTTCAAAATCCACAATAGTATTATTGTAAAGACAGGATGTAAAAAGTGCATATCCATGAACTTTTAAGCTGGCTACCTGTAGAATATAGGATCTATAATTTCATGTTCATTTCTCATTTGATCTCTAGGCTCCACATAATAAACCAGACCTAACAGATGGTGGTGTCCACATTTAACAAGGGAGGAAAGTGAGGCTTTAAGGAATTGTGACTTGCCTGGTCTCTTAACTCCCTTTCGCCCTACAGGAACCGTAAGAGTAGTGGGGGAAGCATTTTTTATTAAGAATAATTATCTCTCTAGTGCTTTGTTTTATTTTTTAAGGAATTCAAAGCATCTCAAACACATTGTACTGTCCTCACAGTATCCCTGTGCAGTAGGCAAGGATAGACATTATTAAAGGGAAAACATGTTTTCAGTCAGAGACAGATAAGTAGAAAATCATTCTCAGAAGATCTGCAGGTTCTGCAGCGTGCCAGGACATTTAATGATAGGGGCATCTCTGCAGACACAAGGGTGAAACAAAACTGTGTATCTTAAGGGAGGTTTATAGTATACGATACTGCACAGACTCAAATAATGTAATGAAAATTTAACACTATAAGAAGACCTGGGTTTTCTTATGATCCAACTCACTTATTTCCCTTCCCTGGTTTTACTTGGTTCAGTTTGGTCTTAAGAAAGCATACGCACACACGTTGTTGTTGTTGTTAGGTGCCATTGAATCAGTTCCGACTCATAGTGACCCCACATACAACAAAACAAAACACTGCCGGGTCCTGTGCCATCCTCACGGTCATTGCTGTTTGAGCCCATTGTTACAGCCACTGTGTCAGTCTGTTTCGTTGAGGGTCTTCCTCTTTTTTGTTGACCCTCTGCTTTACCAAGCATGATGTCCTTCTCCAAGGACTGGTCCCTCCTGATAACATGTCCAAAGTACGTGAGACAAAGTCTCACCATCCTTGCTTCTAAGGAGCATTCTGGCTGTATGTCTTCCAAGACAGATTTGTTCATTCTTCTGGCAGTCCATGGTATATTCAGTATTCTTCAGAACACCGAAATTCAAAGGCATCAATTCTTCAGTCTTACTGCTTGTCCACTTTTCAAAACACACATATCCATATTATATTGAGAGGAGATTCAGGTACTGGTGTCATATCATGGACTTAAGGTTTAAAGAAATCAGATGCCTTAAAATTGCCTCAAATCAAAGGCAGCATTAGGGCCTGTACCTCTGAATATCAGCCAGCTACTGTGTCTGCTGAAAGCGAGTTCATCTTGTAAGAGTGGAGGTTGGTGGGATGAGGAGGCAAAAAAAAAAAAAGAGAAGAAGAAAGCTAATGTAATTGTGGTGTTTGAGGAAACATTGGAGAATTGAGGAACTTCATGCAGCGAGGCGTCAGTAAGGAAGAAAGAAACAGATTGAGTACACATATTTCAGCCAATGTGTGAATACAATCCCTAAATTGATGGTTCTCACTAAATTTCCAAACAAAATGTGGAAAATAGGGATACACAGGTAGAAAATATATTTAAAAATTTCCATGACAACAGATGGTGTTTGAATTTTTATAGTTCCATCATACTTTGCACTATAATTTTTTCTCAAGTATGGAAAACTGAAGTTGCCCATGGAAAACTGAAGGTGCCCAATTTAAGTTTCTTTTTGAAGAAAATTGAAAGTCTTATTGTTTTGGGGTTATAAAAAATAGCATATAGTCCATGTTTAAAAAGGTTAATAAAGAAAAAAATACAGAAAATAAAGAAGTTAAAATCACATGCAATCTCATCACGCCAAGATATCAACATTAATGTTTTGGTGACCATCATTCCAAACATTTTTTACATATATATTCACAGATAAATAAGAGCATATTTACACAAATTCTTACACATGCAGTCATAAATGCTGAGTGTGTAATTTTTTCTTTATGTCAACAATATGTTGTAGACATCTTACAACAAAAATAGACTCACATCTAATAGCTGTATAGTAGACATGTATGATAATGTAGTTATTCATTTTCCTATTGACAAACTTTCATGTTTTTTCCCCCAAGTTTAAGACATTTTGTTAAGCTTCCCTCCAGAAAGATTATACCAATTTATACTCTGAGCAACACGGCATGCCACTCACTTAGGAATACAGGTATTGTCATTTGAACATCCTGCATTTTTAAAAATCTTGACTTTAACAAAACACTCTGTGCTGTGTTTGAAACCCTGAAATATTAGATGTTCAGTGTGTTTAAAGTTAGCTTGAACCTAAATATGGGTCCATCATTTAAATTCTAAATGCCCACTTTAATCACAGTCACAGAAATTTGTCTTTCAAGCTGTCTGGAAGATCAGAATTTGCTCCTGTTAATACATTTGCATAAGCAGGAGTTTTCCCCAGAAAGCTTGAATGCTGGTTTTGGAATATTTGGTGGTTATGGGGTATTAAGCATAAATGAAAATGATTTTGTGTATTGAAATAAAGTCACAGAGGGAACTTCTCACTGTACCATCTATTAATCCGAAGCTTCAGGATTTTGAATATCAGAAGTCTAAACAGTCTACCTTGGTATTTACGCTGTACATCAAGTCCCTGGACTCTGTGCTTTGGAGTCTGACTGCATGTTGTATTGTTACGCCTTCAGTTATTTTGAAGAACTTGTCTAAAACTGTTTAGTTTAATAAGATGCTTGAATAAGCACCAAAAGCATCCGCTGAAGTCTTCTTAAAACCAAACAGTAGTTTAGCTTAACTAGTAAAGAATATCTGCCCTGAGCATTGTGCTCTTTTAACAACTCTATATGGGATCAAATTGACAACAGCAACTGGAAGGATTAGATAGGAACCTTAGGGGGCAGTGAGTCTATGTTAATGGGAGAGGAACAACTCAACTTGAAGAATGTAATCAGTGTCGCTGAATTGTACACGTAGTAACGGTTGAACTGGTGTATGTTTTGCGGTGTATAGTCTCAACAACAACAAAATAAATATTTTGAAAGAGAGGAAAGAGAAGATGTTTGAATAAGCAAATGATTTTTAATAGAGTATTAAAATTGCTTATCACTGAAAATAGAGTGATTTCTTAACATTATTGACTACCTCCTTGAAAGCAGGCTATTATGTTTTCCCACAGGAATAACAAATTGGGAATAGTGGTTATGATCAAGAGTCAACACCAAGTAAATCAGGCCTGTATTTTAGAAGCAAATATAAAATAGCTTTTAATATAATAGATGTAAATCTTTGTTTTAAATATGATAGAATGGCTCTCCAAATTTAAGTAGTCATGAACCTCTAAAATAATTTATTGTTTAACACTTAAGGGCATGTATGTGTGTGTGTAAAAATACTAATCTTGTTATACAGAATTTCTGTGATCATTCTTTTCCAGAGATTTGAGCTAATGCCCTATTTTTTATTCACGCCTGTAGCAGCCAGAAACACAGTTGTATGTAGTTTCATTGATAATTACAGGTAGTCTCTGACTTACAACGTATTCAGATTACAACAAACCGCACTTACGACTGCCTTTTTTTTTGGTACATCTTATTGTTGGTAATACGTACTGCATACAGTGTTGCAGCACGTAATTTGCTGATGTTATCATTCTCAGATGTTCACTTGCTGACAAATAAAGGTTAGATTTATAAAGATACTGATAATAAAAGGCAATAATAATGAAAACTTAAAAAGAAGGTATTAAACTTACGTTAGAACCTGCTTAATGACAGAGTCGTCGGAACGGAAACCCATCATAAGTTGGCGACTACCTGTACTTCCAAAGTAGCCACCACAGAATTTATTTCAAACCATACAATGGATTTTAATCAAGTTTGAATCAGTTCTTCCTTTTAGCTTCTTTCCTTTGTTTTCCTTCACAATACCAAGGCCAATCTTGAAGGGATGAAGCATTAAAAGAAAAGTTACTTTTCCAGAAATCATGGGGAGGTGAGATGACGAGCAGTTTGACTGCTTTGCCTTGGTTACTTTGGAGGGAAGGGGTCATATTCAAGAGCTGTGTGTGTGTTGTTCCAGCCTCTGAAGCTTTAAAACATTAGCTAACAAAGCTAGCTACCTTCCTGCTACCACTAGATGCTCATAGTCACTGCCCGGGACAGACCTGGTACTGTGGCCCAGAAGTGTACTGGCAATCACTCTGCCTATAGTTTCTTAAAAGACACACATCACTAACGACTGGTGGTGATGTGTGTGTATTTTCTCCAGGCTAGTGGAGAGAGGGTGAATTTAACCATTGCCAGGACCGGGAAACCGCCACCTGGTAGCGCTAACCGAGAAGCAGGAACTCCGAGCGGCAACCAGCACCACTCTCAGCAGCTGTGTCACACCAGACCCAGCTCCCATAAGGTGAGGAATCGTTTTGTTTTCAATTTCTGCTATCCTCAAAAGATCATTGTTACATGTTGATAAGATTTAAATGAAGGTTGTTACTCTGTTAAAGACGTGAAGCTAGGTGTTTTGGGATATAAAATATATGTGACTGTGTCTCAGCCACTGGAGATCATTTCTTGATGGGGAAGCTTCCTCTTCAAATGATTGATGAGAAGTGTGTGATCTTCCAGAAAAATCTTAGTTTGGTCCTGCTTGGAAGTGGGGTTTATCTTGAGTAACTAATTTAAATATAACAGTTGGTTATATGATCAAGAAGCATAATGAAGCTATGATCCATAAGTCTATACTTAACAGCTAGGCAGATTGCCCACAACAACAGGATTAGATATATGAATATTAAATATGGATCATAAAATTTGACAGGTCTATAGCATAGTTCTTTTTTATATTATAGCTTACGGGAAGACAACCCTAAATGATCTTTACTGCTTCTTCAGAATCAGTATTTAACTGGTTTTATAACACGTTTCAAGTTCATTTATCTGTGCTGAGAATGTCGTCAGTGCTCTCTCTCTCTCTTTAGTTCCAGAAATCAAAAAAGAGTGTATTTTACTGCATTCTTGATACGATTTTCTTCCTTTGATCCTTCATTTGAACTCAACTTCTAGTAAGCCATGAAGCACACAGAATTTAAGAAAAGGTGATGTTTACCCAATTATGTGAAAACAAGCTAAATATGAGTTTCCAAAGTCATTCTCCTTAAGTAAAATTAAATTTATTTATTAAACAAAAGCTTATTTATTGATCTGCTTAAAACCGTAAGAGTGAAACTATTCTATATGATACTCTAATGGTGGGTATGTGACATTATGCATTTGTCAAAACACATAGGACTGTACAACACAGAGAGTGAACCCTGCTGTAGACTATAGAGTTTAGTTAATAGTGATGCATTAATATTGGTTCATCAGTTGTAACAAATGTACCATAGGAATATAAGATGTTAATAATAGAACTTTCTGCACTTTCTGTGCAATTTCTCTGTAAACCTAAAACTGCTCTAAAAAATAAAGTCTATTAAAAACACATGCAATTAAAAATATTCAGAACTCTTAAGAAGCAAATGCTTTGATGAGAGGTATTCTTGGAGCATGTTATACAAGCTAGGTATGCATTTAAAAAAAAGATGATTCCTATGTGCTAAAGTGGCTTTATAATGTAGGTAAATTGAGAGAGTGATTACCTTTGGAATCTTTCACTGGTACCCTCAGAAAGCATAGCTTACAGGCACAGTGGTTTTGGTCTATCAGGTTTATCTAGTTTTCTGAGCTTAAGTACAGACCTGTCACTGGTATTTGGTTTAGTTAATACTTAAAAGAAATTATAACTACTGGCTTTGTTCACATTTCTGAACAAAAACCTAAATGTATGAAGGAAACCTATAATTTTGCCATCGTAATGATAACTACGAAAAAGGAGTTATTGTTTTGAATAGGAGGTTTTCATATAGCTGTTCCTTGCTTTACAAATTATATATATTTCAAAAGAATTGTAATATTAAGGCAGAAGTTGGTGTATGGAATCTTTTTTAACTCATTGAATTCTACCATAATTTGAGATACGGGTGTTTATGGCAACATTATATTTTAAGACAATTGTAAAAACTGTACATAATCACTCCAACATTCATATAGAGAACTCTGCTTGTTTTATTTGTTTGCTTTGGGTATATGTATTTTTTTCTCATGATTCTGCTGATTCTTCTCTTCAATTTTATGTGACATGTATTAAATAGCAGTGCTAAATTTATTCTCTTTTTAGGTATTCTGCAAGCCTGGTTGGTTAGAACAATCACAGTGAATGAACTTTTAAATGTTAATTTAGCTAGTCATTATTAGTATACTGCATTCGTTATGCCAAAACCTGATTTAGAACAATAAAGGTTTTGTCAAGGTCTCCTAGGGAAAGCACATACTCACACATGCCCACCAAAACAGCCTGTTCACACAACTAAGATAACTGTCGAAAATTAAAGTATGCAGTAGTCTACTGCTAAGCCTCTGAGTGGCTGCTTGGATAAACATTTATAGGGTGCTAAACCTTTAGAAGGCCCTTTGAAGCATACTGAGTATAATCTTTGAAGATTGGTTTGGTTCCTAAGAAAAAAAAGCATACAGCTCAGGCATCTAGAGTGAAACAACCACCCTTAACTGATTAAATTCCGGATGGCTGAAACCGCTTAAGTAAATATACCCAAGGCAGAGTTTACCTTAGTGGTCTTGATAATAAAGTAGTTTTTGCCCAGTTTTGAAGGATACCAACATCGATTTCATACCTTTAGATAATTAAGATGTTTACAGGTTTTGTACTAGGTGATAATATTTTCCAGGAAAACTATGCTGTTATTACAAGTAGTTCCCTTGATAAAATTTCAAGAGTACGTAGATTCTGGGTCCAGAGAAGGACAGATGAGTCCAGATTCCAGAGCCTTGCTTTAGAGATTTGGTAGATACTGCTCTTAACAGTTAAGTTCATGTCATATCTTTAAAAAAATGCTGTTAAAGGAAATGTTATAATTCTATAAATATGATTCCTATATTTCTATTGTTTGATAATATTAATTATTCTATCTACAACATCCTCATATGGTTGCTAAGTATTAGAAAACATTTGAGACATTATCTTCTGCTGTTACACTTAGTGGGATAGTACCTGCATATGTGCATATATATAATATGTATCCATAATACATTACGCTATATGTACATATACAAAATATATATTTCTACTAATATACTATATATATATATGTACTTCTAATTTGCATAAAAAGTAGTATAGAATTGTATCGAGATGTTCTTTACTCACAAATGCATTAGATAAAACATCTGAACCAGATATATTCTCACCACACACTTGGTTCTTATAACATGAAGGGAAATATGCCCTTTCTCATCCCAGCAGTATTTGGTGGTAGTTCATTTCTTTCAAATAACAAAAAAAATTTAATAGTACTTCTTGTAAAATTGCACAAGTGGGTCCTGATGTGAGCAACCTAGGACTAAAATAATTATCTTTTCTGTCAGTTTTAAAATTTAGCAGATTTCATCTCAAGTACATGTGTAATTAAAAAAGGAACCCTGATGGTACAGTGATTGAGCTCTGGCTGCTAACTGAAAGGTTGGCAGTTTGAACCCACCATTTGCTTTGTGGGAGAAAGATGTGGCAGTCTGCTTCCATAAAGATTACAGCTTTGGAAACCCTATGGGGCCGTTCTGCTCTGTCCTGCAGGATCACTATGAGTTGGAATCGACTTGAGAGCAATAAGTTTATATGTAATTAACATCTATGCAACTATATTCCAAATAATAGATAGAACATCTAAAACAAAGTGATCTTTTCTTGTTTCAATTAAACTATGTCAGAAATAATTTAGAATGTTGGAGAGAGTCTGAACACATTCCTCTCGAGAGTGGGAACCAGACAAGGATGCCCTTTATCCCCATTCTTATTCCATGCTGTGCTGGACGTCCTAGCCAGAGCAATAAGGCAAAAAAAAAAAAATCCAGATTGGTAGAGAAGAAGTAGAAGTATCCCTGTGTGCAGATGATATGATCTTATACACAGAAAACCCCAAAGATCCATAAGAAAACTACTGGAACTAATAGAAGATTTCAGAAAAGTAGCAGGATACAAGATAAACATGCAAAAATCAGTTGAATTCTTCTACACCAACAAAGAGAACTTTGAAAAAGGAAATCACCAAATCAATACCATTTACAATAGCCCCAAAGAAGATAAAATACTTAGGAATAAACCTAACGAGTCATAAAAGACCTATACAAAGAAAACTACAAGACACTACTGCAAAAAAAACAAGAGAGCTACATAAGTGGAAAAACATACTATGCTCATGGATAGGAAGACTCAACATTGGGAAAATGTCAGTTCTACCCAAAGCAATCTACAGATACAATGCAATCCCAATCCAAATTCCAATGACATTTTTTAACAAGACGGAGAAACAAATCACCAACTTCATATGGAAAGGGAAGAGGCATCAGATTAGTAAAAGTGTTACTGACGAAGAAGAACAAACTGGAAGGCCCCACACTACCTAATTTTAGAACCTATTATACCACCATGGTAGTCAAAACAGCCTGCTGCTGGTACAATAACAGATACATAGACCAGTGGAACAGAATTGAAAACCCTTAAGTTCAGCCACCTGTGAGCAGCTGATATTTGACAAAGGCTGAAACTCCGTTAAATGGGGAAAAGACAGTTTCTTTAACAAATGGTGCTGGCATAACTGGATATCCATCTTCAAAAAAATGAGACAAGACCCATACTTCACACCATGTACAAAAACTAACTCAAAATGGATCAAAGACCTAAATATAAAATCTAAAACAATGAAGATAATGGAAGAAAAAATAGTGACAATGCTAGGAGTCCTGATACATGCCATAAACAAAATAAACCATAACTAGCAATGCACAAACACCAGAAGAGAAACTAGATAAATGGGAGCTGCTGAACATCAAGTACTTATGCTCATCAAAAGACTTCACCAAAAGAGTAAAAAGAGAACCTACAGACTGGGAAAAAAATTTTGGCTAGAACGTATCCAACAAGGGTCTAATCTCTAAGATCTACAAAATACTGCAACACCTCAACAACAAAAAGACAAATAACCCAATTTAAAAATGGGCAAAGGATATGAACAGACACTTCACCAAAGAAGACATTTAGGTGGCTAACAGATGCATGAGGAAATGTTCACTATCATTAGCCATAAGAGAAATGCAAGTGAAAACCACTACGAGATACCATCTCACCCCAGCAAGGCTGACACTAATCCAAAAAACACGAAATAATAAATGTTGGAGAGGTTGTGGAGAGACTGGAACTTTTATGCACTGTTGGTGGGAATGTAAAATGGTATAACTACTTTGGAAATCGATTTGGCACTTGCTTAAAAAGCTAGAAACACAAGTTCCATACAGTCCAGCAATCCCCCTCCTTGGAATATATCCTAGAGAAATAAGAGCCGTCACACAAATAGATACATGCACACCCATGTCCATTGCAGCACTGTTTACAATAGCAAAAAGTTGGAAACAACCTAGGTGCCCATCAACAGATGAATGGATAAACGAATTATAGTACATAATATGGAATACTATGCAATGATAGCAATGATGAATCCGTGAAACATCTCACAACGTGGATGAATCTGGAGGGCGTTATGCTGAGTGAAATTAGTCAGTTGCAAAACGACAAATATTGTATGAGACTACTATTACAAGAACTCAAGAAAGATTGAAACACAGAAGAAAACATTCTTTGATGGTTAGGATGGTGGGGAGGGGGGAGAGGGGAATTCACTAACTAGACAGTAGACAAGAATCATCTTAGGTGAAGGAAAGGACAACACACAATACAGAGGAAGTCAGCACAACTGGACTAAACCAAAGCTAAGAAGTTTCCTGAATACAATCAAATACTTTGAGGGACATAGTAGCAGGGGAGGGGTCTTGGGACCATGGTTTCAGGGGACATCTAGGTCAATTGACATAACAAAGCTTATTAAGAAAATGTTCTGGCATCTTGCTTTGGTGAGTGGCGTCTGGGGTTTTAAAAACTTGCAGGCAGCCATCTAAGATGCATCAATTTGTCCCAGCCACTTGGAGCAAAGGAGAATGAAGAACACCAAAGACACAAGGAAAATATTAGCCCAAAAGACAGAAAGAGCCACATAAACCAGAGACTCCATCAGCCTGAGACCAGAAGAACTAGATGGTGCCTGGCTACCACCAATAACTGCCCTGACAGGGAACACAACATAGAGTCCCTGACAGAGTGGGGAAAAAGTGTGGAACAGAACTCAAAATTATGGAAAAAGACCAATCTTAATTGTCTGAGACTGGAGGAACCCCCGAAGCCATGGCCCCTGGACGCTCTGTTAACCCAGAACGAAAACTGTTCCCAAAGCCCACTTTTCAGACAAAGATTAGACTGGACTGTAAAATATAATAACTCGTGAAGTGTATGCTTCTTAGTTCAAGCAGATACATGAGACCACGTGGGCAGCTCCTGTTCGGGGGCAAGATGAGAAGGCAGAAGGGGACAGGAGCTGGTTGGATGGACACTGGAAACCCGGGGTGCAAAGGGGGAGTGTGCTGTCAGATTATAAGGATTGCAACTAGTGTCACATAACAATATGTATAAATTTTTATATGAGAAATTAACTTCAGCTGTAAACTTTCACCTAAAGTACAGTTAAAAAAAAAAAAAATTTCGAGCAGCATGCATTAGTGGCTCCCAACCCACTTGGAGCAAAGGAGAATGAAGAGGCAGGATGAGAAGATAAGGAAGGGACAGGAACTGACTGAATGGACACAAGTAACCTGAGTTGGAAAGGGGGAGTGTGCTGTCACTTTATGGGGATTGTGACTAATGTCACATAACAATATGTGTACAAATTTTTGTATGAGAAATTGAGCTGTAAACTTTCACATAAAACTAAAAATGAGAAGTTATTAGTAATATCAGTTAAGATTGTTTCTTCTGTATTTTGAATTATCAGCATGTCTTCTGTATTCAAAATGCCCAGTCAACTGTTATCAAAACTTCAAAAATAATTTTATTCAACAAACTGCAAAAATGCAAAACTAGAGTTAGTTTTTTTAGTACCAATTAAAAATTATTCTCAACAAAATAACATTACATATAAAAAATTTTCTTGTCCCTGCTTTAGCACATGAAACCTAAAACATTTAATACTTAAATTTAATACTTTAATACTTTGTATTATTAGTAGAGGTGGGGTTCAAATCGTGTAAATTTCTATTTCGTTACCTTGGCACAAAGATTGTACCATCTTTCTCTTTAACCAGAATGGCAAAATTCTGATTTTGGAGATTAAATCTAAAGATTAACCCTAAAACAAAATTACATTGTCTACTTTTAAAAGATTAGCACCAAACCAAACTCAGCCAGTGTAGGCAAGTGTAGGATATTATGATGGGCAGTAGCTCTGGCATCAGTTCATATCCCTCCAGTCACTTATAGTTGTACGACTTAGAGGAAGTTATGTAACCTCAATGTGCTTATGTCCTCATCTGTAAAATGAGGCTATGATTAGTATTTATTTTCAGGACTGTTGTGAAGGTTAAGTGAAATAATGCTTGTAAAACCATCAGCTTTGCACATAGCAAGCATTCAATAAATGTTAGTTATTATAGTGAGTATGTAGATTTTTTTATTGAATTCTAAGCAGTGTTTTTAATTCTTCTTCCTTACTTCCAGAAGTTATTTTAGTAATTAAGTAGCAGTGACAAATGTAATAAAAATAGCTTTTCCCTGAGATTATTACAGTCAGTTCTCACTATTCCCAGATTCCATATTTGCAAATTTGCCTACTCACTAAAATTTATTTATAATCCCGAAATCAATAGTTGGGCCCTTTTGCAGTCATTTTCAGACGTGTGCATGTGCAGAGGGGCGAAATATTTGAGTTGCCCGACATGCACATTCCCAGCTAAGGTTGAACAAAGCTCGTTCAGTATCTGTTAATTGACTGTTCACAGGGACTTCGTAGAACATAACTACTACAAATAACAAAAATCATTGGTAGTTTATTGGGAATTTATTTTCCTGTCATTAACTTTTTCAAAAGTTCAGTTATTTTGTAATCTTTCAACTTTTCATAAAGGTTTTGAAGGTGGAGATGCACCTGCTTCATGATTGAACATTTTGATAATCCTATTAATAAGAATGGGAGATAGCAGTTAGTAGAATTCATAACTTGCTTTTCTTAAACTACTCTGTCAACTTTTATTTCAAACAAGAAGAAAAATGGAAGTAAAATTAATTGGCTTGTCTTCAGAATTTTAATGCTCAAGTGCATTACAGTATTGACTTCTAAAGAATTTATTGTAGAATCAATTGGAGCTAAGAAGAATTACACAAAAGATGTGGTTATTTTACTTTGGCGTTCATGTAGCAGCAGCCCTGAGTTTTTTTTAGTTCCATAAGTAGATGATGTTGTTATGTGCCATCAAGTTGGTTCCAACTCATAGCGACCCTATAGGACAGAGTAGAACTGCCCCATAGGATTTCCAAGGAGTAAGCTGGTGGATTCGAACTGCCCACCTTCTGGTTAGCAGCAGAGCTGTTAACCTTTACCCCACCAAGGGTCCCATAAGTAGATAGTCGTGAAAATACAATGGTCCAGAATTTGACATTGTGCTCCACAGTGTTCAGTGTAGTGTTTACCTGTTACAAACTGTGTATTAAGCTCTATAGTAAGAAATAAGTATGACATTATAAATGCCACACATGATTAAGCTATCTTTACTTCAACTTTATATTGTTCATTATCCAATCATTTTTTCCTTTGTGTTTAGGATCTTACCCAATGTGTTACATGCCAAGAAAAACACATTACTGTAAAGAAGGAGCCACATGAGTCCCTTGGAATGACGGTAGCTGGAGGCAGAGGAAGTAAGAGTGGCGAACTGCCCATCTTCGTGACCAGTGTGCCACCCCATGGCTGTCTTGCACGAGATGGCAGAATTAAGCGAGGTAAGATAGGCTTTTGAACAATTCTACCACATCGTCTCCCTGAAATAAACTCACGTTTTTAAAAAGAAAGTATCTACAAAGTTTTTCAAGTCCTTTAAGACATTGCTTGCATATGAAAGTATAATACCTTCCTATAAGATCAGAAAAATGCCTAATGAAAAAAGAAAATTTTTGAAGCTTGATGACAGTTCCAGAATTTGCTCATAGTATTCCAGTCTGTTGGATTATTTTATGTTGGAAAAGGCCCTCTAAGAGACATATGCTTCTAGCATTATGGCAGATTAAATACTCTGAAAGGCCTTCTCACTAAAATACAAACATTGTTTGTAAAGTTAATTGAAAAAAGATGTAAAATTGTTTATATGGTATGATATCAAGGATGTGAAAATCATTTAAAAAAATTAGATGTAACACAAAATGTTTTGAAATCCCAACGATATTTGTTTCCAGGTGGTAAGGTGTTAAATTTTTGGTATTCCAAATTTTTATAACAGGTGCATATTACTTTTAAAGTGTCTGTTTTGGATGAGTTTGGAAAAGGAAGTAGAGCAGAAGAAAAGCGTAATAAAAAAGGTAGTGGTTTAGAGAGGGACTCATTCACAATTTCACATTCCCCATTAGTGCTGTACAATTTACAGAGGTGGTAGTGGGGGGTGGTAATTAGCCAACATTAGTGTGGTAAAAATGACACTCTCCATTGACTTGGTCTTTCCAAAGTAGCTTTTCCAAAGTTTATATGGAAAAATGAATTGTAAAAGTTATTTATCCAAGCATGAAGTTGGACCCCTACCTCACACCATATAAAAAATTAACTCAAAATGGATCAAAGAACTAAATTTAAGAGCTAAAACTTTAGAAAAAACATAGGTGTAAATCTTTGTGACCTTGTATTAGGCAGTGTTTTCTTAGATATGACACCAAAAATACAAGCAACAAAAAAATAATAGATAAACTAGACTTCATCAAAATTACAAATTTTTGTGCTGCAAAGGACGTCATCAAGACCCACAGAATGGGAGAAATATTTGCAGATCATATACCTGATAAAGGACTTGTGGCTAGAATATATGAAGAACTCTTAGAACTCAATAATAATTGCCATTTAAAAAAACAGGTAAAGGTTTTTGATAGATACTTTTTCAAAAAAGATCTATAAATAACCAACAAGCACATGAAAATATACTCAACATCATTAGTCATTAGGGGAATGCAAATTAAAAATCACAGTGAGATACTATTTGACACCCACTAGGATGACTATAATTAAAAAAGACAGATAATAACAAGTGTTGACAAGCATGTAGACAAGTCAGAACCCTCATACTATGCTGGTGGGAACGTAAAATGTTGTAGCTACTTTGGAAAACAGTTTGGCAGTTCCTCAAAAAATAAACATATGTCCACACAAAAACTTGTGCATGAATGTTCATAGCAGCAATTTTCTAATAGCCAAAAAGTGTGAACAACCCAAATGTCCATCAACTAATGAATGGATAAACAAAATGTAGTATTTCCATATGATGGAATATATGCTACAACGTGGCTAAAGTTCGAAAATATTATGCTAAGTAAAAGAAGCCAGTTGCAATAGACCACATATTATATGATTCCTTTTATATGAAATGTCCAGAATATCCATATCTTTAGATACAGAAGGTAGATAGATGGTTGCCTAGGGCTGGGAGAAGTAGAGTGACTGCTAGTGGGTACAGAATTTTTTTGGAGAGTGATAAAAATGTTCTAAAATTGATTGTAGTGATAGTTGTACAACTCTGTTAATATACTAAAAACGCACAGAATTGTACTCTTTATATGTATGAATTGAATGGTATATGAATTGTATCTCAATAAAGCTGCTATTAAAAAAAACTAACTTGCCCAACTGTAGAATTTGAGGAAATTTTTATTTCCTTCCAATTGTTTCATTATGTTTTCTAAGTTTTCTGCAATGAGAATGTTTTTGTTTTAATAATCTGAAAAATAAATGGCAAATTGGGGGAGGGGGATTTTCTATAGGCTTTTTTGATATAAAATTTGTGCTTCCCACAAAACTAATCCTTTCTGTCCTAATCTTTTATATAATCCTCATTGCCATTTTTTTAAATTATATTACTTGGCAGAGCAACAAACACTTTTTCTTTTCTCAAGGAAGGGAAGATGTTCAAATCACAAGTTTTGTTTCTTTGTGTGAGGCCGTGGATATCTTCTCTGGACGGATTCTTATATGTTTACACTGAGTGAAATATATAGAACTGTCTTTATGTATAAAACTGTAAACATAAAAGAATATATTAAAAATTCATTTCTTAAGAGCAAAAGATCAAATAGTTTTTGACTTGGAAGGAACCGTAGAAATCACTGAGGCTGATAGATTAAAGATGGAACTAGGATCTGCACACATTAAACTAGGACAAGACGTTTGGACTTGCCACCTTACCACTGTGCCCCAAGTTCGGCATTTTCTTAGGGATTGTGAAATTATTTTAAATTTCTGAATTGTTTTGGAATATTTTCCATGAATTAGCTTTTTCCTCTCTACTATGAAAATTACAAAGAAGTAAAAAATGGCCTTTTGCCTTATCTCAGTTACTGGAACTGACTTTGCTGGTTAGTTTACAAATGACAGGATTTGCAGGAAAATGGCTACTTGGCAGCTCAGCTCACTTTTCTTGTTTCTTGCTTTGAATAGGTGATGTGTTGCTGAATATCAATGGCATTGACTTGACCAATTTAAGTCACAGTGAGGCCGTTGCTATGCTGAAAGCCAGCGCTGCTTCCCCGGCTGTTGTCCTTAAAGCACTTGAGGTCCAGGTTGTGGAGGAGCCTGCCCAGACCACCGAAGAGCAGCCAAGCACTTTCAGTGAAAACGAATATGATGCCAGTTGGTCCCCATCCTGGATCATGTGGCTCGGGCTTCCAGGGTACGGAGAGCTTTTCTGCTGTCCTATGGAATAATCATCATTGCGGCCTTTTCCAGCGTGTAACACAGTCACTTTGCTCACTAAGGAGGGTAGGGGGCGGGGGCTTTGATTAAATAGAAATAGCAACATTGAGTCAAGTTACAAAAGAAAATAGTAATGTTTTAGGTACATTTTTAAAGGTAAATTTAATGCTAAGGACTAAACAAGACTATATTTGCTTAAAAAAAAGAGTAAAGCAATTTTGTCCATTCCACTAAGGATCTTAAATGGGCAGCCATGAGACTAGATATTCAGGCTCTTGCTTCGAAAACGTATCACTTCCCAACCGTCATTCTGAAGAATGCTTAGACTTCACATGCACTTTTTATCACAAAAACCAGGCTTGCCTCTTTGCAAAAGCCTTTCTGAAAGCCCTTTCTTGTATTTTTAACTCTCCCTTAAAAAGCAGAGTTTAAAATTCAGTTTTTATTGGGCAGAAGAGTCTTTTAAGCCAAACCATTGGTGTTCAAGAGTAGCTGCTTCTAACAAGCTTTAGAAAGAGTTTGGTGCTCACGGCCAACTTTGGTCAGCCCAGCAGTTGGCTAGGGTCTGGGTCACTACAGCCTTTGGAACCTGCAGTGGTGTCAGAGCTCATATACCTTTCCCTAGTTATTGTTTTGCTGTTTGGTATTGAGGTAGGAAAAATGTGCATTGCTATCATTTTTTTCCAAATCAGTTTAGAGTGTTACTGTAAATAAGAATTCTAAAACTGAACTATGATGAAACAGTGTGATTCTTAACTAAGTATGGAAATTAATAATCCTTTAAAATAAAAATAAACAGTAAAGATGTGCCAGTTTCAGAGCCATCTCACTTCATGTGGAATAAATTTATAATAACAAGTAGCATTTGTTTAGTGCTTTGTGGTTTATAAAGTACTTTTACATAAATAATAACAGAAAAGGCAAGGATATTATTGGATTTCATTTGTTGCTAGCTTGCTGATTTGTCCTCCTGGTGAAACAAAAATCTATAAAGGCCTAAAACTATGATAGAATTCATGTTTTGGGAGACCTTAGGGACCTTGTATTTGAACCTTATGAAGAAATACATCGCTTTATGACAAAGACAGTTTTACTACTTCATGTATATTTATGTCATGGCAAAAACAGATTTATTTTTTCCAATGGAAAAATCAATTAACATAAATTTTTACATGGTTGGTATTAAACTTCTACAGAGATGCTGCCTACGTCATGAGGCTTTGGCTGTCATAGGGAGCCCAGTTTATCTTGTTAAACACTGGACTGCTGCTTGGACCTGATGACTTCAGCTTAGAATAGCAGACATTTCTCTTCTCACGTTGGTGGGTGACAAGTTGCCCCCTCCTCTGTAATGGGGCAGGCAGAGGCCAGCGAGTCCTGTAGGCATTCTGCTGCCCTGTTTCTTCCTTTAATTTTCCTTATCAGCTATTCCAGTCTGGTTTCGGGGTCAGCCTGTTTACTTCTGTGTTCAGAGTATTTTCTGCCTTGCCAGGAAGAGTAACAAAGGTTTTAGAGGAGAAATACACTGCTGAGTAAGCTCTGTCTTTGAAAGCATCTATATGGAAGGAATACCTGTCAATAAAAGGCCACTGTTCTGTGGATTTCATTGCATGCAAATCTACATTCATCAACTCTGTGTCAAAAGGCCGCTCCTCCGTGAGACGGCAGGGGCCCCTTTACACAGGTTTCTCACTGCTTAAAGGTAGCAGTGCTCTGCTCTTCCTGCAAAGGGGGTTCTTCCACTGCAGTTTGCTAAGGACGAACCAGAGAGCTTGTTTTTTGAGAAGATGAAAGCAACCAACAGTGACCCTAAAATACCAAGCCAGTGCATGAGGCCACGCCCCACCCCAGAAGCTCTTCTAAGAACCCTTTCTTATCAGCAAGCTGAGAAACTGGACCAGATTTGAAATTCTAGCACATTGTACATTTCTTTAAGAAACTGGACCAGATTCGAAATTCTATCCCATTGTATATTTCTTTATGGAATCGGCTTTATTAAGAAATCTTTTTTGGTAGATTAAAAACAGAAAACCTTGCCTTAGATGCCTATTGCATCCAGTTTAGCTAAAAATGAAAGCTGTTTCTATAAAGAGGTTTTTTTTTTTTTAAATCATTTAGCTGCTTTTTTATTTTAAAGTGTTTACTCAGTGCTTGTTGCCAAATCCATAGAGTTATGGAAGTGTAGTTTTTTTTTTTTTTTCTCTTCTACACAGCATCCTCCATACTAACAGTGGCATTTTAACTGTAGCATCTCAGTGTTCGTGATACAAAAGAAAAAATACAAATGATTCTTGTGTTTTCCAGATTGAGTTCTCTAATTTGATAATTAGAGCCTGCCTTAGAATGAATGCATTTTAAGTGAAGGAGGAAAGAACACCACAAAACTCCTCATGCAGATTAAAGTGCAGACTGTAGCGTGCCTTCAGCAAAGGGAGTAGTTACCTCTTTTAGGGGGAAAGAGAAAGCTATCATTAACTTCTTTCATTTGAGTGCTGAGATCAGCAGTACTAGATCTCGGTCCATTCTACTTTGTGACTTTTTGTAGATTTTTTTTCCCCCATTGCTGTCAAGTCAATTCTGACTCATAGTGACCCTCTAGGACAGAGTAGAACTGTCCCATGGGATTTCCAAGGCTGTAATCTTTATAGAAGCAGACTGCCACATCTGTCTCCAGCAGAGTGGCTGGTGGATTTGAACTGCCGACCTTTCAGTTAGCATTTTTGTAGATACAAATGAATATTAGAATTGAGGACCTTGTTGACAATGCAGGGAGCAAAGAAAGGCACCTAACCATTCTCTCCAAATATCTGAGGTGTAATTTGTAAGCAAGTTTATTCTAGCTAGCTAGCACGTTCTGTGTGTATGTGTGTGTGTATACATCTTCACTTAGAAAAAGAACAAAAACAGAGTTTACCTAGGACTGCATCTGTGCTGGAAAATGGGTTGTCAAAATAATATATTCAGAAAGAACTAAAGTAGCCCTTTTTCTTTTTTTTCCAAGAGGTGATAACATGATATGGAGTTATAGCAAAGATTAGCAGACTAGAGAAGCCTCCGCATTAATTTTTTCTTTATTTGTATGCTCATTTATAGTGCCCTTCATAGCTGCCATGATATAGTTTTAAGAAGAAGCTACTTGGGAAGTTGGGGCTTTAGTATTGTTGGTGGATATGAAGAGAACCACACCAATCAACCTTTCTTCATTAAAACTATTGTCCTGGGGACACCTGCTTATTATGATGGAAGATTAAAGTGAGTCTTGATATATTTAACAATGTGATAAATGTTTCTTATCAGGGACATAATCTAGAACAGGGGTTAGCACTCAACCCAGCCTGCTGTTTTTGTAAATAAAGTTTTATTGGAACATATGCACACTAATTCATTTATGTACTGACAATGAGTGCTTTCACAGTACAACAGCAGAGTGGAGTCGTGACAGGCTGTATGGTGTGCAAACTTTAAAATATTTACTGTCTGGTCCTTCACAGTAAAAATTTGCTAACCCCTGATCTGGAGTGAAACAGTACCTTTACCATATTATCACTCACAGCTGTATTTTGTTAGTCTAATTACAGGAACTGGACCTGAGTCATTTGATTGGACACAGTGTGACTTGACAACTAGCCCTGAGCACCTTTTCCAGGCAACCTGACTCAGGCCCAGTCCTGTCATTAGATTACACTGCTTTATTTTTCGCCACAGCACTTAGCACTGCCTGACATTATATTTTATGCAAGCCCCTGAGGGAGGGGTTTTGTTGTGTTTACTGGTGTATCCCTAGCAGTTGTAACAATACCTGACGTATAGTAAAGTCTCAGAATATCTGATGTATGAATGTACGTAGTTGACAGCGTGCCAGGCACGGTGTTAAGTGCTGTGCATGTGGTATTTAATCTTCTTGACAACCTGATGGAGGTAAGTGCTCTTACTATTCCTGGTTTACAGATGAGATAAGTGAGGCTTGGAGAGGTTAAGAAGCTTTCCCCAAGATCAAATAGATGAAAGTGGTTGAGCCAGGGTTCAAACCCAGGACTCTCTGACTCCAGAGCCTTTGCCTTCAGCCTCTCTGCTAGTTGCCACCGCTGGGCAGAACGTACTTTCTCCGCCAACGTGCAGCCTGCTTTCTTTTTCAAAGCTCAGGCGCTGGGAGAAGAGAGAGGAGGTTTCCTGTCAAGAGACTATCACACAATAATTATTGAAGTGGCAGGTGGTTTGTTACCTGTGTGTTTACCACTGTATATATCTCTCTATATATATGGTTCTTCCATCCAGAGCTAGGCATTAGGAACTAACAATCAACCATCCCCTCTTGGTTATGTTATAATCTCTTCTTTTAAAAAAAAAAAAATACTCTGGAAGAACCAGTTCTTAAAAAATAAATGCTGACATACTTGACAAAATGCTGTACAAATGGAGGGTGTACACTGTTTGCAAAGAGAAGGTGACATCTGAATAATATGCTGACAAGTTGATCAGGATCAGCAAGTTCCATATCAGTCTTAGATAAAATGAAAAAAAATCATTATCTTAGGAGGAAGAGAGTTGGGAAAAATGAATTAACCATTCTCGTAGATACTCAACCAGTCTGGGCCTCAATTAATTTGTTTATAATTTGCATTCCATCTACTTCCAAAAAGAAATGGAAGTAGCTAACAATAAAATAGCATATTCATTAAGGTAATTGAATTACAAACTAAAGACTAAAAATCTTAAAAGGAAAAGGTCCATAGATTCATCACCCATTTGTGTTCTGCTTGGAGGATAGTGAGTATGAATTACTTAAAGAAGAGGAAGTATGGGTCTTATCCTCAATTTAATTCAACTCCTGAATGTATGAACTCTAAAAATGAACATAGAAATAACAGTCAAAATGATAACCACCCCCTCAAAATGCATTATTTAGTATTTTTTAAAGAGGCAGCAGATTTACTCTTGTAATTTTATTTTGCTTCCGCTACGACAACAACCATATGAAAACTAGTCTGCTTGCCCTTGGAATTCAGCCACCAGTTACAGGAGGTTTGGCACAGGGGTATCCTTGATTGGCACGGGAAAGCCAATATAGGCTTAAAATTTGCTCCAGGTGTTTCTCCAAGACAGACAGACAGATAGCTCCAACTCATGGCGACCCTGTGTACAACAGAACGAAACATTGCCCAGTCCTGTGCGATCCTCACCGTCGCCGGCGTGTTTGAGGCTGTTGTGCCAGTCCATCTCCCTGAGGGTCTCCCTCGCCTTCGCTGGCCCTCTACTTCACCAAACATGATATTCTTCTCCAGTGATTGATCTCTCCTGATGATGTGTCCAAAGCAAGCAAATTGGACAGTGTTCTGTTGGGATCCAGAGGGTTTTCATTGGCTAATTTTTGGAAGTAGGTTGCCAGGCGTTTCTTTCTAGTCTGTCTTAGTCTGGAAGCTCTGCTGAAACCTTTCCAGCATCACAGCAACACACAAGCTACCACAGTAGGACAAACTGACAGATGGGTGGTGGTCTCCAAGGTAATATACCCTAATCATTGACTGTTAATTGTTAAGTGAAATTGTGATTTTCATGCTAAACAAATTTCAAGTGGGATAATGTTTTTAATACCATAAAAATAATAGAAGTGTATTTATTTCTATTTTTGCTTGTCTTTGTCCAGATGTGGAGACATGATTGTAGCCGTAAATGGCCTGTCAACGGTGGGCATGAGCCATTCTGCGTTAGTCCCCATGCTGAAGGAGCAGAGGAACAAAGTAACTCTGACCGTTATTTGTTGGCCTGGAAGCCTTGTATAGACTTTTGAAACTGGTTTTGAGTCAAGCATCTTCCTTTATGAAAAAAAACCCTTTGGTTCCATTGTGTTTCTGGTTGGTGGGAGCTACTGACACAGCTGGTATATGCAGGGCCAAAAACCACTAAGATTGTCCCTATTATTTAAACAGTTTCCCTCAAGTTAGTCACATTTCTTTGAGCTTGGACACAGTCTTCCACTAACCCTTGTGAATTTACATTTTCAGAATTCAGGCTGTCAGTTGTAGGAATGTTACCTGTACTAATGAGCAAAGCCTACCCACACTGTGACAGAGCTAGCCGGGCCACAGGACTGCTGGTGGTGGCTCTTTGTTTTCAAAAACAGAATCATAAAGTGAGTCATACAGCTGCCAGGGCTGGCGTTAGTGCAGGCAATAAACCAGTGCCATGAATGGCTACATTTTAAATTTGGGTGATAACCATTTTCTGTTTTTCATTGGTACCAACATTTCAAAAATCCATCATATTTATAAAGTGATTTTTCTGGTTTATTTTGCTTCTTCTTTAATATCTTGGTATTCATAGGTGATGAAGACTTGGCACTTAACACTGCTGAACAGATTATGAAAAAATAATTTACCATTATTAGAATAGTAGAGAATAAAAGATAATGTTACCCAGTGACAAAAAATAATTTGTAAGGTAATTATAGTTTAGCACCAGAGATGGTAAAAGCTGCATTTACTTGAACAGGTTATAGCATTAAAGATTCATTTCCAAAGGAATGTTTGCTTACATAGGAAAATTTCGAAACAGTTGTTGCTAAAAATCATTTCTAGAGTTTGTATTATATGTATATCAACAGTCTTGGCTGGAAATGTTTGTGTGATTTATGCAATTAAACTAGATGATTAAAATAAAACCATACTGCTATTAAATATATACTCGTGTATCACAGCCAAGTAAGAGAAGGAGACCTTCTCATTTTATTCTGATAGAGTTTTGGGGTTTCTTATTTTCCCCATTATTTCTTCTCTTATGAACTTAATGATTTCATGTAAGAGACTGACAAGTTTTTTGTTTGTTTTTTATCTGAAATAGTAGGTTTTAGGTGTTAATATCTTTTAGTCAGCTCTTTGTCACGAGACTATTTGATATTTTTTTTAATGCCTTTTAAAACTATGATCAGCCCGTTTTGTTTGTTCTTTATTCTACATGGTTGTCCTTTGGAACAACATAGAGTGAACATGAGGAAAATAGCATTACCTTATCAATATTATGCATACTTGAAAAAAGTTTCCTTTAGAAACCTAGTTCAGAATCTGAGCTAATTTACAAGTGACCTCTGTAATAAATGGTATTGATTATCAGAGAATGTATTTCAAAACACTGCAGTCTATTATGACGCATGACTACTTTATTTGCAAACTTAGCAATGGCATTGCTGGGGTTTATTATATCTGTAGCATGTCACTGAATATCCCGGTTAGTTTTATAATGTTTTTCTTTTTAAACATACCTCTTTTGAATAGGTAAATTGCTATTGACTTGTTCAACCCCTTAGCTCTACTAAGGGTCAGCATATAACCAGGATACAGTGGAATGCCCCATACAGTATATTACTGTTAGGTGATGATTGTCTCTTGAAGCAATTTGATATTTAAATGCTTTGGTATTCTAATTGACATGGAACAAGTTTTTTTTTTTTCCCTGTTCCCCAAATAAAATTTTGTAACCTACTTTGCTATTTTTTAAACCTTTTATAAGAATGTATCATTTATTGGGGAGTGACCATCCATCAGCAAATATTCTAACTGCTACTTTGCTTATATAAAATACTTCTATTGAACCCTGGTATAACAAGTATTTTGAAAGAAGAAATTTTTTTTTAAATATTATTTTTATCATGGAAACCTTGGAATCAGCTTAAGTTACAGGTTTTATTAGCAAACTACAATCATAGCTTTTGGTCAGAATGATATTTAGTGATGGAAACTTGTTTATAATTTATTGTTACTATCAAAATCTTTGAATTTTCTCATTTTAAGCATTTACAGTTAAATATTTTGATTTGTTCTGTGCCTCCAGTTTAAATTATTTCAGGATTTTTCATATGTGTTTAAATAATGATGTGATAATCATTCAGGATGGAAATAAAAGTCATCCTTTCCATAATTGCAATGTTGTCTGTTTTCTTGGATGGCAGATGTTCACTCCTCCTGGGATAACTTCTTTCTGTTCACGGCACCACTTCCATATAAGAGCCCAAGCTTGAAACCTCAGGGTCACAAGCCTGTCTCCTAATTCACATTCCTGCAGGCAAAGCGCGTAGGACCTGTGCTGTCTACCCGTGTGGTACCTCTAGACTTGTGCCATCCAAGATGTGGCACCAAGGACCTGAAAGTGGCTGGTGCTACATGTTGGCATGATAATATTTTGGATATATTAGGTTATATAAAATGCATTATTAAATTTTATTTCTCCAGTTCTTTTTACTTTATTTAATGGTGTTACTAGAAAATCTTTAAATGCATATGTGACTTGATTATATTTCTATTGGACAGCGCTGCACTAGTCTCTCCCCACTACCCTTCACTGGTCCAGCGTTTACCCATTCAGGCAGTCCTGGCATTCGTGTTTCTACTTTCTTTATAGCTGTAATCATGTTGTTGTTGTTGTTTGGTGCCATCGAGTCAGTTCTGGCTCATAGCGACCCCATGTGACAGAGTAGAACTGCCTCATAGGGTTTTCTTGACTGTAATCTTTTTTTTTTTTTTTAAATAATGTGTTTTCGGTGAACGTTTGCACAGCAGCTTAGGTTCCCATTCAACACTTTCTTACATTCTCATCTTTGTTTTAAAGTAATTGTTGACTGCTCTCATATAGGTGATTTTTTTAAGGAGCACAGTACTTATGGGTGATAATTCATTATTTTGTGAGCCAATCTGTTATTTAACTACAGGGTGACCTCAGGGGTTAGTTTTGGTTCAAGGTTTGAAGAGTATCTCAGGGCAGTAGTCTTGGGGAGTCCTCCAGTCTCAACCAGTCCAGTAGGTCTGGTTTTGGTGTTTTTGTTTGTTTGTTTGTTTTTAAGGAATTTGAGGTTCTGTTCCACGTATTTCTCCTGTTCTATCAAGGTCCATCCACTGTGGCCTGAGAAGAAGGGTTGGTAGTGGTAGCTACACACCATCTAGTTCTTCTGGTCTCAGGGTAGATGAGACCATGGTTCATGTAGCCTATTTGTCTTTTAGGCTAGTTTCTTTTCTTTTCTTTTTTTTTTTTTAACTTTTATTTGTTTTGTTTTTGTTGAGAATATACACAGCAAAATATTACACCAATTACTGACTAATCTTTGCAGGAGCAGATCTCCAGGTCTCTTTCTCCCATGAAGCTGTTGGGTGGGTTTGAACCACGAGCCTTTCAGTTAGCAGCTGAGCCCTTAACGGTTACAAGGGCTCCTTGCTTTGATCATACTCCGCATTTTTTTTTTTTTAATTAAAGGAAAGAAATAAAATTGTTTCCCATTTCCTAGTAAGGTTCAGTCCAGCACCTCTGTGATCTGACCACTAATCCAGTCTTCAGATAACTGCATAGTTCTATTTACCACCCATTACTCCAGCAGACTCCCCAGTCCTCCGTACACATACATACTTACTTTAGCTGTAATACCTTCCTTTCTCTGTGCGTTCACAGCATCCCCATACTTGAAGGCATAACTTGAAGACACTCCATCATGAGTCATTCCCTATCTGTCTCTTGACTTCTACTTGTAAGAAAATTATTCTCCTTATTATAAATCTCATTGCACATAAAAAGCTCTTCCTGACCTGTCCTCTGCCTGCCCTTCTAACCTTATTTCCTACTCTTCCTCGCCTCCATATATAAACCACCGTCCCTGCCCTCATACATCCTGTACCACAGCCAGACCAGCTTAGTGCTGCAGCAAATACAAGCTGTTGAAAGTAAGAGGACATGTTACTGGGATTCTGTTACTCCACGTCGGATCTCCTCCCCGTCTGTGTCCACGTCGACGTTGGCTCAAGTTTCATCATCTCTTGGGGAATCTTCACCATTCTCTCTGGGCAAGCACATTTTGTTTTTTAAAAACCCTCCTTGGACTGTGCCATTTCATAGTAAAATTTCCCAGAAGAGTTGTGTATTAGTTTCCTGTTGTTGTGTGCCATCCAGTCTGTGCCAACTCATAGCGACCCTGTGTGACAGAGTAGAACTGCCTCATAGGGTTTTCTAGGCTGTAATCCGACAGAGCCATGGGGTGGGTTCAAACCGCCAACCTTTCATTTAGCAGCCGAGTCCTTAACCATTGCACTGCCAGGGCTCCCTGTTAGTTTCCTAGGGCCGCCATAACTACCACAAACTGAGAGCCTTAAAATGACAGAAGTTTACTCTCACAGTTCTGGAGGTCAAAAGCCCGAAATCAAAGCGTTGCCAGGAATGGTTCCTTCCGGAGACTGAGGAAGAATCTGTTCCATGCCTCCCTCCGGGCTGGTGGTGGCCGGCAGTTCTTGGTGTTTAGCAGCTTGTAGGTACGTCACTCCAGTCTCTGCCTCCGCCTTCACGTGGCGTTTTCCTCTGTGCCCCTGTATTCTGTGTGTCCTCTCCTCTTACAAGGACACCAGTCATTGGATTTAGGGTCCACCCTGCTCCAGTATGACCGCATCTTAACTAATTACATCTGCAATGACTCTATCTTGAAATAAGGTCACATTCCAAGGTTCTGGGTAAATATGAACTAAAAGTTGTCTACACTCATTGTCTCCATTTCAAGCTCTTCACTCTTTAAGTTTTAACTCAGCAAAATTTTTCAGACACAAAAAGTTATTAAAAAAAACAATACAGGAAACACGGATCCACTACCCAGCTTAAATAAAACATGACCACCGCTGTTGAAGTTCCTTTCCCATTTGCATTTACTTTCTTTCTGGCCTTCCCATGCATCTCTTCATACTTATGAAGGATACATATTTACATATCCTTACTATCCTCACTGTAAGGAGCACTGGTGGCACAATGGTTAAGAGCTCAACTGCTAAGAGTTTGGCTGCTAACCAAAAGGTCAGCAGTTTAAATCCACCACCCTGCTCCTTGGAAACCCGTATAGGGTCGCTATGAGTTGGAAGCAACTGGACGGCAGCAGGTTTGTGAGGTGTTTTTTGTTTTGGGTAGTTGAGGGATGTGTAAATATATATATCCTTGAACTATAGTATGGTGTGTGTTTTTAAACTCTATGTAAATGTTGTCATGTGTATACGGTGTTCTGCAACTAACCTTTTTTGCTCCAAAAAGATTCCTTCATGTTTATGTAGCTCTAGTTCCTTCATTTTCACTGCTGTGTGTTCAGTGACTGACAATTTTGTATCCATTCTTGAGTTGATGAGCATTTAGCTTATCTCCGTTCTTTGCCATCATTAACAATGCTCCTGGGACCATTCAAACACAAGTCCCCTGTGCACACGGGAGAGCTTCTCCAGGACATGGTTCTCAGTCAGCCCTGGCTGCATGCATATCAGTTGGGGGGCTTTTCAAAAATGCCAGTGCCAGCTGAGTTGGTGTGGGATGAGACTGGGGCATCAAGTTTGTTTCTGCAGGTGAGTCTAATGGACGGCCAGCACTGAAAACCACTGCTCTAGGAGAGTCATTTCTAGGTTTTAGGGCAGGGGCATCTTTAAACCAGTTGCCATGGAGTCAACTCCAACTCAAGGCGACCCCATGTGTGTCAGAGTAAAACTGCTCGGGGATTTCAATGGCTGATTTTTTCAGAAGTAGATCACCACGCCTTTCTTCCGAGTCACCTCTGGGTGGACTCAAACCTCCAATCTTAAGGTTAGCAGCCAGCGTGTTAACCACTGGGACCACCCAGGGGCCCCAGGTACATATTTACAGGTAATTAATCTCCCCCGTGGTTGTACCAGTGTGCATTTCTACTGGCAACGTAGGAGGGTTGTTCCCTATTCTTGGCAGCGTTTGGTTTTATTGAATAAAGGGGGTGAGACGGTAGCTCGGTGTGGGCTCAGTGTGCCTGATGACTGGGGAAGTCCATTGTCTTTTCATGTTTTCTAGCCATTCAGGTATCCTCTGTTGAATAACCTGTTTGACATGGGCTGTTTCTGATCCTTTACAGATAAAGAATTTGTAGAGATTCTTTATTCTGAATATTCAGTACTCAGTGGATTATAACCCATTGCTGTGGAGTCAATCCCGATTCACGGCGACACTATAGGACAGAGTAGAACTGCCCCCATAGGGTTTCCAAGGCTGTAAACCTTTACGGAGCACACTGCCACATCCTTCTTCCGAGGAGTGGCTGGTGGGTTTGAACTGCCAACCTTTCAGTTAGCTGAGTGCTTTAACCACAGTGCCACCAGGGCTCCTTCCTAGTGGATTATGTGTACTCATTTAAAAGGAGCCACCAGCCAAACCCACCAGCAACTCCGAGGGAGAAAGATGTGACAGTCTGCTTCTGTAAAGATTGCAGCCTTGGAAACCCTATGGGGCAAGTTCTGTGTCATACAGGGTCCCCCTGTGAGTTGGAATCGACTGCACAGCAACAAGGTTTTTACTCATTTGAACAATGTTTGAGCACCCACACGGAGTGATAGTAAACCGAATTTTATCTTTCATAGTTCAGACTTTCCTCAATTTGTCTGAATTTGGAGATTGTAAAACCATATGGATGACACCAGCTTGGTAAACTGCTGCCCTGGGCACGGACTGGGAATTCGTGAATTGAGCTTTTTCTCTTGAGTCTCTCTTCTCCGCCTGCTGAAGGAAAGGTTTCAACTCCTCCGGGTCCTTATTAGAAACCTCTTTTGCCATTTTACAGTGCCAATCCACTTAACTACACTACCAATTAATTTCTATGGCAACACTGAAGCTCTTTAGAAGTAGTTATGCCTGTAAGCGCAATGCCTAATAGCTATAAAGTGCCTAAGGTAAGAGACGCTAAACTTTAATCACTTACAGGAATGAAACGCTAGCATTTGGAGACCTACCTCCATCTCTGCAGGTGGCAGAGCGTGCCTCCTCCTAGAAGGTGGCTGCCTCCTGGCCAGCTGAATGGAGAACACCTCGAGATTTCCAGCTGAGCTCCGTTAACTCACCCGCAATACAAACTACAGAAAT